TCGAGGGGCACACTTTGATTAAGAAAAACAGTATGCACCTGTGGGGGATCAACAATAATTATTCGTCAGAAATGAGAATTCAACAACAACAACAACAACAACAACAACAACAACAACAACAACAACAACCATTTTAAGGCTGTACGCTCTTACTTGCCTGCGAGTTATTCAACACGTATACCCTACACCCTCGAAACCCGCCCTCTTCGTCTTCGATCACACCCCTTTCGGGGGGATTATTTCTCTTTGCTGGGGCCGGCGGGCTTAGACGCACGGGCAAACCGGAACGGGCGGACAATCCTTCGGGGGCGTACATCTCTCTGCCCGCCATTGGAATTGGCGCGGGCCCTGCAAGAGGAGGAGGGGGAGAACGAGGGAGAGTGGGAGGAAGGGGAGGGGGAAGGACGAAGGAAGAGGGAAGATACCACGTTGTGAAGGCGTCCTTGGCGCGTGCGTGGTTCCTGAACGCCGAAACGCAATTCCAGAATAATTTGCGAGGACGTCGCACGCGAGAGCGCAGTCCTGAGTACATTGTGAGGAAATCTCGGGCGGGAGCGGGGGCCCTGACTAAGCTGCGAGGAAGTCTCAAGCGGGAGCGCCGTTCCTGAGCAAATTGCACGGAAGTCTCAGGCGGGAGCGGGGGTCCTCTTTAAATTGCGAGGAAGTCTCAAGCGGGAGCGCCGTTCCTGAGTCAATTGCAAGGAAATGTCAGGCAGGAGCGGGGGTCCTGAGTAAAATTCGAAGAAGTCTCTGGCGGGAGCGCCGTTCCCACGTAAATTGCACGGAAGTCTCAGGCGGGAGCGGGGTCTTGATTACATTGCGAGGAAGTCCCAGATGGGAGCGCCTTTCCTGAGTAAATTGCGCGGAAGTCTCAGGCGGGAGCGGGGGTCCTGAGTAAAAATCGAGGAAGTCTCAGGCGGGAGCCGTTGTTGTTGTAGCCCGGGGGGCAGGGGCACAGTTTGAGCAGGAAGACTTTCTTTGAGAAAAAACAAGGTGCGATCCCCGGGGGTGGCACTTCAATCGAAAAAAAAAACAATGTGCACCGGTGGGGGGGCATCAACAATAATTATTCTTCAAGAATGAAAGTTCAACAACAACAACAACAACAACAACAACAACAACAACAACAATCATGTTACCCGAATGCTCTATACTTCTGCGTGCAGCATGCATCCATCATGACACCTCTGGGTGATTTTGTCCTTGCGCACGGGGTCCGATATTCCTTATCCTTGATCTCCCGCCCGAGGAGGTTTTGACAACACCTCGTCCGAGGCATTTCAACATCTCCAGCCCGGATGGCACGTCGCCCTCGCGATCTCCTTGCCCAGGCCTTGCTTCTAGGTATCACGACGCCTGAATGGCCTAAGAGGTGTAGGAGAGGCTTCACAACCTCCGGGAGAGCCCCGTGGAGAACCCCCACAGCCTTTGAGAGAAGCTTCAGAGCTTAGACCCTTAGGTGTTCGCCCCCTTCCGGAGGCCGCTTTTGCGTCGGCCACTTTCTGGTGGTGCCGGGGTTCATCGTCGTTGTCGTCGCCGCCGCCGCCGCCGCTGCCGCCGCCGCCGCCGTCGTCGTTGTCGTCGTCGTCGTCGTCGACGTCGCGGTCGTCGGGCCCACAGACGGCCTGGGGGTTTCGATTTGCCGAGGATGTCTCAGGCGAGGGCGCCCGCTCGGGAGTCTGCGCCAGGTTTTCCCATAGACGCCAGGAACGAAACAGGAAAGCTGGCGAGTCGCCACAGGAAGCCCGCGAGAAAGTTGGCGTGCAAGAGGGAGACAAGGAAGGAAAGGGAGGGAATGAGGGAAAGGGAGGGAAAGAGAGGCAAGGCTCCAGCGACTGGAGTGATATCTGGCGTGAAAGTTGAAAGGGAAGGGAAAGCGGGAGAAAGATAGGGAAAGCTGGCGAGATAGAGGGAAAAGCAGGATAAAGTTGGGGAAAGTTGGCGGAGAGAAAAGCGGGGGAAATATCAGGAATGATAGGAAATGGCAGGGAGAGAGGAAGAAGAGAGGGAGAGAGAGGACGACGACGACGACGACGACGACGACGACGACGACGACGACGACGACGACGACGGCGGCGGCGGCGGCGACGACGGCGACGACGCCACGCCCCAGGACACGAGCGAGAGCGAGGTCGCAGAGCAGGCGCGAGAGCGCATTCAGGGTGTCCAGCAATCAGAATAGCTTCATAATTGTTTAACAATTAAGGAACATATAAGGTTCGGCAAGGAGCAGGGAAGCCGCAGGGCGTCCTGGGAGTCTTGAGTAAAAGCGGAGGAAGTATCGAGTGGGAGCGTCGTTGTTTGCAGGGGGTCATGAGGCGGGAGCGCCGGTCCTGAGGTGAAAAGCAGGGAAATCTCGAGCCGGAGCGCCGATGTTGTTGGAAAGTCGGCTTTGGGGGGCGAGCACGAGCCCCGGCCCCGAGTGAGACAGGAGCAAGTATCGAGCCGGAGCGTTGTTGTTGTTGGGGGGGCGAGTTTTGGCGCACCCCCGAAACGCCCGAACGTGAGCCGAATTTTCAGAAGAAATGCACGTGGCGCCTAGGCGAGCGCGCGAAAACGCAGTCATTGTGTCCAACGATGATAATTGTTTCGTTATTGAGGCTCAACAGCAATAACAACGACAACGACAATAACAACAACAATCCTGTCAATACTGTTCGTTCATGTATGATCAGGTGCCAATCAATACGTATATCCCAAGCCCTCGGTACCCGCCTTCATCGTATTCGATCGTACCCTCTTGTTGTTATCCTTTAAAACAAGGGAAGAGAGGACGGGTGGAAGGGGGAGGGAGAAGAAGGGGGAGGGAGAAGAATGGAGCACGAGAGAAATGAGCAGGAGGGAGGCAAGGAGCAGATAACAAGTGGTAGAACCAGATGGGCAGATCGGGTGGGCAGACCCATAGCGGGCACGCCGGAAGGCGGGCCCAGGCGACCAAGTCGAGCAGGCGGGCGGGCCGAGCGGGCGGATCGATCGTGAATTCTGTTCGATTAGCAAGGAAGTTTCCTGCGATTCCTAAGTAAATTTGAGGAATGCCCCAGCGAACGCGCGACCCATGAATGGCAAGAGCGCGGCGCCTGAGTAAATTGCAAGAAAGTCTCAGGCGGGAGCGCGATTCTTGAGTAAATCGCGAGGAAGTCTCAAGCGGGAGCGGGGGACCGGAGTAATTTCCGAGGAAGTATTACGCGAGAGCCGTTGTTGTTGTTGTAAACTGGGGGCCAGGGGCACAGTTTTGTTTGAGGAGGAAGATTTCCCCGGATTTTAAAAAAAACAGCGTGCGAGCGCCGGGAGGGGCATTTCAATTGAAAAATACAATCTGCAGTGGAGGGGGGGATCAACAATAATGATTCTTCAGGAGTGAGAGTTCAACGATGACGGCGGCCGCGACGGCGGCGGCGGCGACAACGACGACCCAGACCTTTTGGCGACTTGAAGAAAATCGATACTTGGGGTTCTCGCCATTTTCGCCTTCCTGGGGGTCCGAGAGCTCCCGGGACGGACGACTCGAACAAAAGTGCATCGGTCGGAGGTGTGGCCTCCTCCTCCTGCTCCTGCTCCTGCTCTTCTAGGTCGTCGGCAGATGCAGGAACCAGATCGTCCTTGCCCGCCGCCACGGAAAGTGCATCGGCGAAGTTTGGGACAAGGAGGGCAAAATAGAGGGCGAGGAGGAGGGAAAAAGGCATGATGACGACGACGACGACGATGACGGCGACGAGAGGCTGACGCTCGCGCGACCAGACGGGAAATCACATCCGCAGGCTGCTCCAGCTCCGAGTTTATAAAACAATCATGTGCGTGGTCGAGGGGTGACAATCCAGACGATGCCCCGCAGTTTTGCAGCATATGTATGCGTGTGTCAGTTCACGGAGCATCCTGTAGCCTTCGTCACCTTTGAGCATATTCCTTCACAACAAGTTGCACATGTAATCAGTGCGGTTTTCGCGGAGGAGGTACAGGATTTGCAGCACGCATCTTAGGAGGGAAGCGCGAGATGCCGGGAAATTCTGCCTGTACGAGAGGTGCGGCGGGGATGGCATCCCTCGCGCCCCACGCAAAAATCCTGACTGCTGCGCTTTAAGGTGCGTTCTCGCTGGTAGGGCGGTGCTGACACCCGAAGCCCAGGCCTGGACGCGCTGTGCAAATTGTTATGTCGCTTGCCATGCCGGCGCGTCCTCGAAGTGCATGCGGGATTGCTCTCTCCCGAAAATTCGGCCGAATCATCTTGAAGCCGTCTGGACAGCAGCGCTACGATGTTGAAGGAGGGCATGGCCGTAACTTTCCATGGTTGTTGCGATTCCTCGTAGAAGCTTCTCGGGTCAGTATTTGAAGCCTTTGGAGGCCCTCCCCAGGGCCTCTTCAGGACTTCTGGATGGCCTCTTGAAAGCCTCTCGGGGATCTGCAGGTGTTTTTTGTGGCGCAATGGTTGTACTCACCGTGTCGCAAGGGGACGGGTGCGGTCGCAATCGTATAAAATCACCCGGAAACCTTACTAGCACAGTGAAGACACGGTGGCGGATCGCCCTGGATCTTAATTACCACTTGGCCCTGGCTACTTTCTGGGCCACCCCCGCGAACTCGCGCGTGCGCCCCACCGCACCAGCGGGCCCATGCCTCCCAGTGTCGAACACCCGCTGTCTAAGCGCATCCATTTCGTAAAGCCCGATCGTCCAGCAGCCCTTTTGGGGTACACGCGCATACCTCCCAGTTTCGGAGCCTGGGGCGGAGAAAGTTACCGCCTTCACTTCTCGAAAGCGTCAGTCAACAGGTTTCCTGGGGAGGTGGAGGTGGTCAGCATCTCTTTCCCCGCCAGTGGCAGGCGCTCGGTCTCCTCGGCAAGGAGTCTTCCGTGACGCAGCCGGTCTGAATCATCCCCCTCGGGCACGCAATGTTTCTTCAGAGAGGAAGGTGGGCCAGAAGATTCAGTACCCTGCTTGCCGAGCTGCCTGCCTGCTATGGGGACAATAGAAGAGGGGCTCGGCCTCCAGGGCCCGAGCCCGCAGGACGCAGATGTGCCTGAACAAGGCCACGGAAGCTGCGCGCTCACTGCCCTCGGCCGTCACCAGCGCGACCGGCGCCGCTGTCGGCGACGCCGGGCGGGCGCCTCGGCCGCCACATGATGGGTGGGGGGAGGTCGACTACACGCAAGAGTGACCCTTCGCTGGAGTGACCTTTGGTGCGGACCCATTGCCCCCCTGCCCCCGATCACCGAATGCGCGCTTGGGTTTGGCCCTCTCGCGCCCCCCAAAAGCCGCGCACCAAAGGTCACTCTTGCCCAGGGTCACTCTTGCGTGCAGCCGAGGGGGGGGCAAAGGGGGGAGCAGGGAAGCGGAAGCGGCACGAGCGCAGGTCGAGGTCTTTTACGTGTGCATGTGTGGGTGTGTGCGTGTGCGTGCGTGCGTGTGTATGTGTGAGTGCGTGTGCGTGCGTGCGTGTGAGTGCGTGTGTGAGTCTGTGTGCGTGCGTGTGTGTAGGTGTGAGTTTGTGTGTGTGGGTGTGTGTATGCGTGTGTGTGTGTGCGTGTGCGTGTGTGTGTGTGGGTGTGTGGGTGAGTGGGTGTGAGGGTGTGTGTGTGTGCGTGTGCGTGTGCGTGTGTGTGTGTGTGCGTGTGCGCGCGTGTGTGTGTATGCGTGTATGCGTGCGTGCGTGCGTGTGTGTGTGTGTGTGCGTGTGTGTGTGTGTGAGTGAGTGTGAGTGTGCGTGTGCGTGTGCGTGTGCGTGTGCGTGTGCGTGTGCGTGTGTGCGTGTGCGTGTGCGTGTGCGTGTGCGTGTGCGTGTGTGCGTGTGCGTGTCTGTGTCTGTGTCTGTGTCTGTGTCTGTGTCTGTGTCTGTGTCTGTGTCTGTGTCTGTGTCTGTTTGTCTGTTTGTCTGTTTGTCTGTCTGTGTCTGTGTGTATGTGTGCGCGCGTATGTGTGTGTGTGTGTGTGCGTGGGTGGGTGGGTGGGTGGGTGTGTGGGTGGGTGAGTGGCTGGGTGAGTGGGTGGGTGTGTGGGTGTGTGTGCGTGTGTGTGTGTGTGCGTGTGGGTGTGTGCGTGTGTGCGTGTGTGCGTGTGTGTGTGCGTGTGCGAGTGCGTGTGTGTGTGTGTGCGTGTGCGTGCGCGTGTGTGTGTGTGTGTGTGCGTGTGTGTCCATGTGTGGGTGTGTGCGTGTGTGTGTGTGTGTGTTCGTGTGCGTGCGCGTGTGTGTGTTTGGGCGTGGGTGTGAGTGTGTGTGTGCGTGGTTGTGTGTGTGCGTGTGTGTGTGTGTGCGTGTGCGTCTGCATGTGTCTGTGCGTGTGCGTGCTTGTGTGTGTGTGCGTGTGTGTGTATGTGTGTGCGTATGCGTGTGTGGGTGTGTGCGTGTGTGTGTGTGGTGTGTGGGTGTGTGTGCGTGCGTGTGTGGGTGTGTGTGTGTCTGTGGGCGTGGGTGTGGGTGTGGGTGTGTGTGTGGGTGTGTGTGCGTGTGTGTGTGGGCGTGTGCGTGTGCGTGTATGTGTGCGTGTGCATGCTTGTGTGTGTGCCTGTGCGTGTGGGTGTGTGTCTGGGTGTGTGGGTGTTTCTGTGTGTGTGTGCGTATGGGTGTGGGTCTGGGTGCGGGTGTTGAGTGTGGGTGTGTGGGTGTTTGTGTGTGGGTGGGTGTGTGTGTGTGTTTGTGCGTGCGCGTGTGTGTGTGTGTGCGTGGGTGTGTGTGTGTGCGTGTGTGTGTGTGCGTGTGGGTGTGTGTGTGCGTGGGTGTGTGTGTGCGTGTATGTGTGCGTGTCTGTGTGTGCTTGTGTGTGTGGGTGTCTGTGTGGTGTGCGTGAGGGTGTGTGTGTGAGTGTGCGTGTGTGTGTGCGTGTGTGTGCGTGTGTGTGTGTGTGTGCGTGTGAAGTTGCGTGTGCGTGGGTGTGTGTGTGTGTGCGTGTGCGTGTGTGTGTAAGTGTGCGTGCGGGTGTGTGTGTGGGTGTGTGCGTGTATGTGTGTATGTGGGTGTGTCGGTGTGTGGGTGTGGTGTGTGGGTGTGTGGTGTGCGGGTGTGCGGGTGTGCGGGTGCGTGTGTGTGTGGGTGTGGGTGTGGGTGTTGGTGTGTGTGTGCGTGTATGTGCGTGGGTGTGCGTGTGTTGGTGTGTGTGTGTGGTGGTGGGTTGTGCGTGTGTGCGTGTGTGTGCGTGTGTGTGTGTGCGTGTGTGCGTGTGTGTGTGTGTGCGTGTGTGTGTGTGTGCGTGTGTGTGTAGGTGTGGGTGTGTGCGTCTGTGTGTGTGGTGCGTGCGTGGGCGTGGGCGTGGGCGGGGGCGTGGGTGTGTGTGTGTGTGCCTTGGTGTGTGTGTGTGGGTGTGTGGGTGGGCGGGTGCGTATGCGTCTGCGTCTGCGTGGGTGTGGGTGTGTGTGTGTGGGTGCGTGGGTGGGTGTGTGGGTGTGTGGGTGTGTGTGGGTGTGTGGGTGTGTGGGTGTGTGGGTGTGCGGGTGTGTGGGTGTGTGGGTGTGTGTGTGTGAGGGTGTGTGGGTATGTGGGTGTGTGTGGGCGTGTGGGTGTGTGTGTGGGTGTGTGGGTGTGTGGGTGTGTGGGCGTGTGGGTGTGAGGGTGTGTGGGCGTGAGGGCGTGAGCGTGTGAGCGTGTGTGCGTGTGTGCGTGCGTGTGCGTGCGCGTGCGCGTGCTCGTGCGTGTGTGCGCGTGCGCGTGCGCGTGCGTGTGCGTGTGTGTGTGTGTGTGTGTCTGAGTGTGCGTGTGCGGTTGCGTGTGTTGTGTGTGTGTTTGTGTGTGTGTTTGTGTTTGCGTGTTTGCGTGTTTGCGTTTGTGTGTTTGTGTGTATGTGTGTATGTGTGTATGTGTATGTGTGTGTTGTGTGTCGTGTGGTGTGTGCTGTGTGCTGTGTGTTGTGTGTTGTGTGTTGTGTGCTGCGTGTTGTGTGTGGCGTGTGTTGTGTGTTGTGTGTGTTGTGTGTTGTGTGCTGTGTGCTCTGTGTTGTGCGCCGGGTGCTGTGTGTTGTGTGTTGTGTATTGTGTGGTATGTGGTGTGTGGTGTGTGGTTTGTGGTGCGTGGTGTGTGGTGTGTGGTGTGTGTGTTGTGTGGTGTGTGGTGTTGGTGTGTGGTGTGTGGTGTGTGGTGTGCGGTGTGTGGTGTGTGGTGCGTGTGTGTGTGTCTTTGTGATGTGTGTCTGTGTCTGTGTGGCGTGTGTGTCTGTGTCTGTGTGGTCTTTGTCTGTGTCTGTGTGGTCTGTGTCTTTGTGTCTGCCTGTGTCTGAGTTTGTGTATGTGTCTGTGCCTGTGCCTGTGCCTGTGCCTGTGCCTGTGCCTGTACCTGTGCCTGTACCTGTGCCTGTGCCTGTGTCTGTGTCTGTGTCTGTGTTTGTCTGTCTGTGTCTCTGTCTGTGTCTGTGTCTGTGTTTGTGCGTCCTGTGTCTGTGTCTCTGTCTGTGTCTTTGCCTGTGCCTGTGCAAGTGCCTGTGCAAGTGCCTTTGCCTGTGCCTGTGCCTGTGGCTGTGGCTGTGGCTGTGGCTGTGTCTCTGGCTGTGTCTCTGTCTGTGTCTCTGTCTGTCTGGCTGTGTCTGTGTCAGTGTGTCTGTGTGTTTGTGTGTCTGTGTGTCTGTGTGTCTGTGTGCCTGTGCCTGTGCCTGTACCTGTGCCTGTGCCTGTGTCTGTGTCTGTGTTTTTGCCTGTGCCTGTGCATGTGCCTGTTCAAGTGCCTGTGCCTTTGACTGTGTCTGTGCCAGTGCCAGTGCCTGTGCCTGTGTCTGTTCCTGTGGCGGTGTCTGTGCCTCTGTCTGTGTCTCTGTCTGTGTCTCTGTCTCTGTCTCTGTCTCTGTCTGTCTGTCTGTGTCTGTGTGTGCGTCTTTGCGTCTGTGTGTCTGTGTGTCTGTGTGTCTGTGTGTCTGTGTGTGCGCGTGCGTGTGTGTATGCGTGTGTGTGTGTGGGTGTTTGGGTGTGGGTGTGTGTGTGTGGATGTGTGTGTGTGTGTGGGTGTGTGTGGGTGTGTGTGTGTGGGTGTGTGTGAGTGTGTGTGGGTGTGTTTCTGTCTGTAGAATACGATATCTGCAGTTTCCTACATGTGCTTCTGTATTTTACGATTGCTGTATACATGTTATTGTGCAGTGTGGGGGCTGCCCAGAGATGCGAATACACTCTCGGGTGTGGTTTCAGGAGTGTGTTTGGGACTAGCTCACACGCCGACGTGTTTTGACACAATCATGTGTTCCAGTTGCACACAGGCTGCCATCTATGTTTACGTGTTTGTCTGCACGCGTATTTCCGCCACTTGCCGTTTTTGTTCAAGACGTTTCTTGGCCAGCTGTCTGGCGCAGCGCACAGGGCGAGGCCAGCGCCGCACAGGGCAGCAGCTGACGTTCAAAGACATGGCACGCTAGTCAGGCCAGACAGTATGATACCAGAGAAAAACCCAATCCGATGTTTGTTGGGGCTATGGGGCTATAGGACTACAGGGCTATAGGGCGATGGGGCTATAGGGCTATATGGCTATGGGGGTATAGTGCTATAGGGATATAGGGCTATGGGCCTATAGGGCTATAGGGCTAGAAGGCTATAGGGCTATTGGGCCATAAGGCCTCATGGGCTATATGTGCTGTTGGGCTATTGGGCTACAGAGCTATAACGCTATAGGGCTACATGGCTATAGAGTACCCGGGCAGCTCCGGGCACCCCCGAGCACCCCGGCACCCGGGCACCCACGGGCACCCGGCCACCCGGCCACCCTCCACCGAAATCTTCAGACACCGGGCACCCACGGGCACCCGGGCACCCGGGCACCCGGCCGCCGGCCACCAAATCGGCGCCGCACTTCACCTAACCATATGAATCCGCTAGGACCCTTGCAGAAGCAAGCTCTGATTGGGGAATAAACATAAATCAAGCATATGTTCGAGTGATATCGCCACGCGTCTAAGACTATTATTCAGTATCTTGTGTCGCCGTCTTTCGACGCCGCCGCGATGTCTGGACAGCGCCTTGGATTTGGTCTTGGGTGCTTCCCAGGGGCCTGGCAGGGATCTACGAGACCTACGGGGACCAGGGCGGCGTGCACAGGAGCTGAGAGTACTTCTCATCCTTTCAGTGTGTTAGTGTCGGGGTCGGAGCTGCGAGTAAGTGTTTCAGTGTACCGCAGACGCCATTGTTCATATCAATGG